CCCCAAAACCCCAAAACCCCAAAACCCCAAAACCCCTCTGAGAAATATCAATATTGAATTATTTTGTACTATTTTCTAAGTCTTCATGGTCTGTTGAAGAAAACAGTTTGTGCTTAAAAGCAGATAAAATTATGTTTTTGGTTAACCCAATCCCAGGGTTTTCGAGTGTAGGCGTTCTATAGATTAGTAATGGGACTTACCAATTCCCCACATTATTTCATGAATCGCTGGACATACTTAGATTTATTGGCTTTGGTATAGATTCTAAAATAAAAGTAAGGAAATACCTCGATGTGTATCTTGGTGCACCTTAGTCTCACTCTGCTTAGATTCTTTATCATTTGGTTCCTCATTGAAAGAGTCTTGATACGATTGTTGTGAAGATACAGAGAGTTTCAGCTGCTCTGAATTGAACTTGTTTACTCTCCACTCAACAAGTTTGGAGTTGAAGCCAATTCAGGTGAAGAATATCCATGCAAGAGCAATCATGATCCCTGCTGCGATATAAATTTCAAGAATTAATCTGAAAATTTTAAATGCAAGAGAATGAGTATTTTCTTTCGCTTTATGAAGTTCCCTATTATTGAGTTCATATAATTTACCTTATGTTTATTTCCGTGAGAGATATTTCAATTTTAGAATTCCCAGCATAAGAGGAAAATATGATACTTGTGTCTGAAGTATTGTATTTCATGCTTTCATCAGTATTTTCTTTGGAAGGAGTAATTTTTATATTACCATTTTTACTGATAGGCAGAATTTTGAGATTTGCTTTGTCAAATTTTGCTAAACATTATTTAACAAGATGGAAGTGTAATTGGCTTTCCTATTGAAACTAATTTTCAAGAAGGTGAAGCTTGAGTACCAGTTTGCTTTTCTAAATTAAATAAAGAATCTTAAGTAAAATTCTTAACTACCTTTAATATTGGCAAACAAAATTTAATAAGACCTACATATCTTAATCAACTTATTGTGAAGGCTACTTCACTTCTTTGTTGTGTTGAGGATGCAAATTTCTTCCTTGCTAAGATATATCATAAAGCAAGGATCCTTTGTAGATCACTCTTTCTGAGGTATATCTTCACAATATCACTCTTCTAGCAATTCTTTAGAATTGATGGCGTTATCATTGATGTATGGTAATGTTTGATGTTCTTGTCGAGCAATTATTCCCCTTGTTCCCTGATGATCTGCTCTGTCTGGCTCTAGCTGTCGTTTAATCTCAGAACTGCCTCTTGAATGACCAATAACAGTTGTGCTGCAGAAGGCCAGGAACAGAAAAGTAGTTAAAATGAACGGTTTCATGTTTGATCTAATTTATTTAAGTTTGTTAATTTCAATTATAGTTATCCCAGTGGGGTTTTGGGGTTTTGGGGTTTTGGGG